AATTCAAAAGATGGTAACTACTTCAAAAAATTATTATATAACAAATCAGCAAATTTTGAAGAAATGAACAGATTCTTAGACACAAACTATTAAAACTAACCCAAGAAGACATAAATATGTTTAACAACCCAATATCAAGCAATGAAATTGACACAATAATAATCTACCAACTTAAAAAAAAACCCAGAACTTGATGGACTCACTGCTGAATTCTACAAAACCTTTAAGGATGTTACATCACCAACACTACTCAAGCTCTTCAAACAAATTGAAAGACAGGGAGTGCTCCCAGACTCACGAAAGCAAGTATCACTCTGATCCCAAAACTGGATAAAGACCAAATTGAAAACAAAACTAGAAGCCAGTCTCCTTAATGAACATAGATGCAAAAGTCGTCAACATAATATTAGCAAATAGAATGCAATGCATTATCAATAATGCTCAAAAATTAGGAGAAAGTGATGGGGGAAAGGGGAAAGGAAGGAAAAGAAAAGGGAAAATATGTATATATACACAAGATAGTTAAGATAGTTATACAGCTGGTTTTTCTTAGTGCATTGAAAAGAAAGATTTGTGCTAATATTGTTTGGACAATATTTCACGTCTATATCTTGTACTCTGAGTAACTACTACGAAGATAATAATATGCAATGTATTAATTATTGTTACTTTCCTATTAGCTTCATGTAAAACTGTTTTATTTCTATTTTTCTTCTTCTTCTCTTTAAAAATTAAAAAATATATATATATAATACATCATGATCGAGTAGGTTTCATCCCAGAGATGCAAGGATAGTTCAACATATGTAAATCAATAAATGTAATACATTACATAAATAGAAGTAAGGTTAAAAACCATATAATCATTTCAACAGATGCAGAAAAGATTTTTGACAAAATCCAACACCCCTTCATGATAATAACCCTGAAGAAAACAGACAAAGAAGGACCACACCTGAATATGATAAGACCACACCTATATATGACAAACCAATAGCCAACATTGTACTAAATGGGAAAAAAATAAAAGCATTCCCCCTAAAATCAGGAACAAGACAAGGATGTCCATTATCACCTCTCATTCAGCGTATTACTGGAAATATTAGTCAGAGCAATTAGACAAGAAAAAGAAATAAGAGAGATATGCACAGGAAAGGAAGAACTCATGTTATCTGTATTTGCAGGAGACACGATACTCTATATAGAAGACCAAAAGAACTCCACAAAGAACTCTTAGAATGAATAACAAATTTCAGCATGTAACAGAATGCAAGATCAACACACAAAAATCATTAGCATTTGTGCATGTCAACAATAAATGGAATGAGAAGGAAATTATGAAAATAATACCATTCACAGAAGCATCAAGAAAAATGAAATACCTAGAAATTAACCTAGCCAAGCAAGTGAAAGACCTCTACAAAGAAAACTACAGTACTCTGGAAAATGAGATTAAAGAGGACATCAGAAAATGGAACAATGTTCCTTGCTCCTGGACAGGCATAATCAATATTGTCAAAACGACCATACTCCCAAAACTATTATACAGATTCAGTGCAGTCCCAATCAAAATACCAACAGTACATGTGGGAGGAAAGATAGCCTATTCAATAAGTGGTGCTGGGAAAACTAATTATCTGTGTGCAGAAGATTGATACTGGACCCTTATCTCTCACCATAAATTAATTAGTTGTGATCAATTAGTTGTAAACACCACTGCCCTTGGACCAGCCCCATACACTAAACTAAAATCAAAATGGACCACAAATTTAAACATTAAAACAGAAACATTAAACATACTGGAAGATTAAAAAAAAAGGTTAAAGACATAGATATAGGAAAGGATTTTCTAAAAAGGAAAAACAGTAAGAATCATCAATGCAACTGTATCAAACTAAAAAGCTGCTTACAGCAAAAGAGCCAGTCAGGAAAGTGAAGAGACAACCTACAGAATGGGAAAAAAATTTTCCTAGCTACTTCTCAGACAGAGGACTAATATTTAGAATATACATAGAACTCAAAAGAATTAAACCATCTAAAATTAAAGAAATGGGCAAGAGAAATGAACAGATATTTCATAGAGGGAGAAACATAAATGGTCAACAAATACATGAAAAACTGCTCAACCTCTCTGGCCATTAGAGAAATGCAAATTAAAACAATGCTAAGATTCCATCTTACTCCAGAAAGAATGTCAGTTATTTAAAAATCAAACAATAGCAAATGCTGACGAGGCTGTGGTAAAAAATGAACACTTCTTCATTGTTGGTGGGAATGTAAACTAGTACAACCATTATGGAAATCAGTATGGAGATTTCTTTCTCAGAGAACTGAAATTAGAAATTCCATATGACCCAGTGATCCCCCTGCTAGGCATCTTCCCCAAAGACTTTAAGACATCATACTACAGTGATACATGCATACCAATGTTTATAGCAGCACAACTCATAATAGTTAAACACCAGGAACAGCCTATATATCCATCAACAGATATTGGATTTTAAAAAAACTATACGTGATGGAATACTATTGTGCTATAAAGAATGACAAATTTGCAGCATCTGTAGAAAATGGATATACTTGGAAAATATAAGCCAGATGCACAAAGTTAAATACCATACAGTATCTCTCATTTGAGTGCAATAAACCAGATATCAAAGCTAAATACTGTATGGTATCTTTCATTTAAATGAGGCAAAGTACAAACAGAATAATAAAGATGGTTACAAGGGGACATGGAGATGGATCTCTTTCAATAGGGAAGCGGTCCAAGGGGGTAGGAGGAAGGGAAAGGGAAATAAGTAGAATAAGGATATGTCATGTACAGGAACATAGTACTCGATTGTTGTAAACATTGCATGCTACAATATGAGCTAAATTAATAATAACAGGAATGAAAAATGGGATAGGGGAGTTAGAGGAGGGAGGGGAAGGGGAAAGGGATTTTAAAAAAGCAAACTGTGGTATGTACATATAACCACTCCCCGAGATGACTGTAAACTTCATGAACTGCAAACATGTACTAATAAAATAAAAAATAAATTCAAAAAAAAAGAAATGACAATGAAATTGTGGCCAAAAATTGGGAAAGCTATTAACACAAGAAAATATATAACACTGTGTAAAAAGTCCATACTATATGTTCTAGCGATAGGAAAAAAATCAAGAAACACATTCATCAAAATACAAATACTCTGTCAAAGCCGAGCATGGTGGTGCACGCCTGTAATCCCAGCATTTGGGAGGCTGAGGTAGGAGGATCATTGTGAGTTCGAGGCCAGCCTGGGCCACATAAATAGTTCAAGGCCAGCCTGAACTGCATAGTGAGACCCTGTCTCAAAAAAGACCAGAAAAAAAAAATACTCCATCAAGATAATTTGATCTGAGGAAGCTTTTCACAAGTAAATGCTACAGCTATTTTCATTTTGATAAAGGAAAAAAGTGGAAATGTGTAATAGCAAAGAGCAGAAGAAAATTTTCAGAATTCCAGATATACTTCCCCTCCCTCTTCCTCTCTCTAACACGCACACATACACATATACACAAACACACCTCCCCCAACACACACACATACACACCTAGGCAGATACCCTAAAATCACCATGGCCAAATGAAGAGACCATGATAAGTGATAGGTCTCACCAGCTCGGTTCTATGTTGCTCAAGACACACCACAAAGCAAAGGCATCCAGAACAAGTCCTTCCTAAAATCTCATCATTCTAGCCCAGGAGTCACAAAGTTCTTCTACAAAAGGTCAGATGGTAAATATTTAAGGCTTTCCAGCCCATCTGGTCACACTACTCAACTCTGTCATTGTTCCATGAAAGTTGGTATAAAAAATACTTAAATATGAGTGTGGCTGTGTTCCAATAAAACTTCATGTATGGATCATGAAATGTGAATTTCATATAACTTTCAATGTGAAAGGGAAGGAAACTGCTCAAAAGGAAAGAACAACTGGGATGAGGGAAAAGAGAAAAAGAAAGGGAAAATATGTGTATATGTATATATACACAGGATAGCTAACACAGTGATACTACTGACTTTTATTGCTCTACTGAAAGGAACAGTTAATGTTTAAGTGTAGGATCAATCTTACATGCCTATATTTGTTTATCAGAGTATCTGAATTGAAGATATCAATATGTAATACAACAACCATTGTTAATTTCCTATTACCTTGTCTGAGATTCTGTATTGCTTGTATTGTTTTTGTGTTATTTTCTGAACGTATGTGTATTTGTTAAGATGTTTATGTTTTTATCTTTAAAATTAAGAAAAAAAACTTTCAAATCACTAAATATATTTTTGAAAACTCTTGCCCACCTACTCAAAAATGTGAAAACCAAAGTCAGTGTGGAAATTTTTCAAAAAGTTAAACAGTTATCATATGACCTACAATTTCACACATAGGTATACACTCAAAAAGAATTGAAAGCAAATACGTAACAATTTGTACATACACCGTCATAACAGCATTACTCATAATAACCCAAAACTGGAAACAACTCTAATGTCCACCAACTAATAAATGAATAAACAAAATATTGTATATCACACAAAGAATATTACTGAGGAATATAAAGGAAGTAAGACCTGACATATGCTACAACACAGCTGAACCTTGAAATGCTACTAAGTGAAAGAGTCAGATATGAAAGTACACATAGTGTAGCTTTCCATTTATATGAAAAGTCCAGAATAGACAAATAAATAGAAAAGGAAATACATGTGTGGTTGGCAGGGATTGTGGGAAGGAGGCAGGAGGAGAGATGGCTATAGAGGACAGGGTTTTTTCCTGGGGTGATGAAAGTACTCCGGAATTAAGTAGTAGACAAAATTAAATATACTTGCAGGGAGGAAAAGTGTATGCTGTATAAACTTATGAACATATGTTATATTTATTTAAAAGCACATATTTTCGATAATAGTTCCCATTTTGTCACGCCAAAATCTTTTCATTTAAACTAGTTTAGAAGTGTATTTTCTGGCACATTACCTGGAGGTATTAGCTGTATTAATTCAAACCTGGTCAGGAAGCCTGAAAAGGAAACAAAAATAAGATTTTAATGCTTAAGAAAACTGCCACGGTTTTTTATTAGAGCATAAGTTTAATAGGATACAATAGCATCTCATTTATGCTGTTAGTAAGAGGAACAACACACTAAGCTCTCCATAGTCACAGGTTCCACATCCCCTATGCAGCCAACTCAGACAGAAAATATACTAAGTTGTATTTGTACTGAATATGTGCAAATTTTTTTCTTGTCATCATTTGCTAAACAATGCAGAAAAACTACTTATGTAGCATTTTATTAGGTATTATAAGTACTCTAGAGATGATTTAAAGTATATGAGAAAATGCTACATGGATAGATTAGAGGCAAATACTACATCATTTTATATAAGGACTTGAGCATCATGGATTTTGGTATCTGCAGAGATCCTGGAACCAATTTCCCACGGGTACTGCTGGGCAACTATAATTAAAAATGAATGCCATATCAACAATGACTCAGGTATTAATAAAGTGAGGGAGTGGAATGACAGGAACTGAGTTATAAAAATAGCACTGCGCCTCCTGAAAAGTATGGATCAAATGTGCAATAGTTCATCTTTTAAAAGCATATTCAGGGGATGAAGATGTAGCTCAACAGCAAAAGACCTGCCTAGAATGCACAAGGCCATGGGTTCAATCCCCACTACTGCTCAAAGAAGAAAAAATATCCATTGCCAGGCACAAGTGTGTAAACCCAGCACTCAGAAAACTGAGGCAGAATGATTGTCATAAGTTTAAGGCCAGCGTAGGCTGAACTACATAGCAAAATCCTACCTCAGAGAAAACCAAATATATTCAGAGAGCACTAAAATAACAATGCACTATCTTTTTCATTCTAAAAATTCAACTGCTACCTATTAACATACAGAAGTTTCTGTTCCCTAAAACAGTGTACTATATGACTATACAAAATTAGACATAAAATGTAACTTTTTAAATGTATTTCTTGAGCTCAAAATATGTATTTTTTGAGACAGGGTCTTGCTATGCAGTTCATGCTGGCCTTGAGCTCACTTTGTAGCCCAGGTTGGTCTCGAACTCATAACGATCTTCCTGCCTCAGCCTCCCAAGTGCTGGGATTACAGGTATGTGCCATCACATCCAGCTCAAAATATATTTAGAAATAGTAAGTCCATTTATAATGTCTATGTAAGCAAGAAAAACATTCAAATCTTAAAGGTAACAAGATAAATAATATTATAATAAAAAACAATAAATACTAATTTCTACAAAATAATATTAGAAGTGATAGTATCTAAAAACAGACAATGAAAGTAAAATTCTCGTTACAAAAATATATTAATGCATGAGAAAAAAACATTAAAAGCCAAGCTGGCCTGAAAGTTTAGGTTTTCCAAATGGGAGGAGGGGGGCTGGAGATATAGCTCAGTAGCACAGCATCTGCCTGGCAAACACAAGGCCCTGAGTTCAAGTCCCAGTACCAAAAAGAAAACAAATGGGAGGAGGTATACACATTTACCATTACCTCAATGGTAATACATTAAGTACTTAATTTATTTCAGGTTCTAAATTGCTTACATTAAACTAATTCTCAGTACAACTCTATGAGTTGAATATAAGAGTTATCCTCATTTTTATGAATAAGGAAATTAAATCTCAAATAGAAAAGTACAGTAAGGCCACACAACTAATAGCAACAGAGCTCCATTTGAACCTAAGTAGTCCCCCAAGGCTTGTTCCCTGATCCACAAAATACTTCACTAAAAAAGCCCATTCTTCCATGCTAGCTATGGTGGTGCATACCTGCAATCCCAGTATTCAGGAGGCTGAGGCAAGAGGATCGCTGCAAGTTTGAAGCCAGCCTAGGCTGTAAAGTGAGTTCAAGGCCAGCCTGAACTTCATAATGAAACCTTGTCTCAGAAAGATAAAAAAAAAAAAAAAAAATCCCATTCTTCCACAGAACAAGTTAATCAGGATGTTATAAAATACCTACAGCTTTTAAGTGCCTGCTGGGCTGGCCTTTCACACTTGTTTTAAATATCAAGGACAGAGAGAATCACTAATAACAGATCTGGAGAACTGTTCTCATGAGCTTTTTTCCATGCTCTTTTAGTGCGCCAGTCCACTACCCAAAATTTCATATTTGGGAACTGAACTGAAAAGATCCTGATTCTTATATGCTCATTTGAAAATACTGAAATCGTCTTGTGAATTTAAAGAGGCTTGAGGGAATTGGTGCCTTTCCAGATGTGACTCATCTCAGACAGATGTTTCCTCTTTCTGCTTCTTAAGATTCAGATGCAAAGGTAAATGCAGTACATTGAGTATTACATTTACATTTTTAAAGCGAAATCTCAGAGGGATCATCTTTGTGGTACATGCTATATCCAACTGTCTTCATGAATGCCTGAAACACACAGTTTTAGTGCCCAAATAAGAGAGAGATAGAGATAG